TGCTTTTTTATCTTTTAAATCTTTTCCTTTCAACCATAAAATCTTCTTGTCAATTTTTCTTGTATGTTGAAAAAAGTAAAAATTATTAATATTATCTAAATATTTGAAAAACTCACAAACCATGGAGACCGGTAAAACATAGTAGATTTTAATGGAAAAATCAACGATGCTCATTCTAATAAAATGCAAATGCCTGTAAGAATCCTTCAACTCCAATTGCAAAATTGCTTTCACATTGTTAAACTGAATTTTCTGAAGTCTTCTGTAAGAAAGACTATTAAACAAATTTAAACTTCTAATATTAGTATATCTTTTAAGATGTGGCGAAACTAAATTGTGATTAATACATGATTTCAAGAATCTGATGCGAGTTCTAATATTAACGCTACACTTGGGTGGCAGCGGCGGCGGCGCGCAGAGAGGGGGAAAAAGCGCTTCGTCGCCGCTCGAGTGTGGACCGTTCTACGAATTCGCACAGCGCGGCTTAACCACACATTAGCTTAGACATTTCCTTTTCTAATTCGAAAACTACAGTGAGATCAAAAAGCCAATAACGTATAAAAGAATATTTTAAAATCGTTACATACTAGATTGCAGTTCACCATGGAGATAGGTGATGGAAAAATAAGTTTTTTAGATACGATGTTGATTATCGATGAACGGAATCTCATTTTTGATATATACCGTAAAGCTGGCAGATTTCTTAATTTCCATTCACACCACCCACTTTGTCATAAAAGAGGTATGAATTATGGAGTCGTGGATAAGATATTTTGTTTGTGTCATCCGAAATTCCAACAAAATAATTTGATTGACGCAATTAAGATTTTTTTACAGAATGGATATCCGTTAAGTTTTATTTTTTCGACTATTCATAATAGAATAAAATTCACATTAATAAGTTTAAAAATTTAAATAAGAATAAGGATGACACTGGGAGGAGGTTTTTTAAGATTCCATATGTTAATATAATATCCGAAAGATTTATACCTATTGTTAATATGTTTAATTGTAAATTGGCTTTTACTATTCCTAACACATTGAGAAGTTTTATAAGGAGAGGAAAGAA